TGAAGCTAAACAGTGTACTAGCGAGTCTTATAAATGTATCAACTGCGCTGAGTATAATTTAAAAAACAAAAATTCGTTAATTTCGACACAACATGTATGCGGGGACAAGCAGCAGTGCACTATGTACAAGAAGCAGCTTAATATATTAATATCTAAAATTGACTATGGCCAGTAGCTCAAATAAAAATAATTTTAAGCTAATGAGTATAGCGCATTTGAATGTACGTTCCCTGTTTACAGGATTTACGGAATTTCAAAATTTAATATATTCCAATGACTTTGATGCGGTAGCGGTGACGGAGACTTGGCTTTCTGATCATATACCTTCCTCAGTGGTCAATATGGATAACTATAAACTTTATAGGGCTGATCGAAAGGGGACTGGTGGGGGAATCGGAATCTATGTAAAAAACAACATCAGAGCTAAATTGGTGCTCCATGATTATAATGGTATAAGTGGCATTGAACTTTTATGTGTTGAGCTTCAGCTTCAAAAATTAAGTTTTCTTATAGGTATTTTTTATAAAACTAAATGTAAGTTAGAGGATACCACTGAGTTCTTTGACAATTTTCTGTCCTATGTGACACCTCAGTATGAAAATATTATAATTACTGGCGACCTGAATATCGATTTTCATTTTGACAACAGGTTACAAGAATGTTTTACCACATATGATTTTAGACAAATTATTACTGAAAGTACAAGAGTTACTGCAACATCTGCTACTTTAATTGATCCCATATTTGTTAATAGTACTGATTTTATATATGAAAGTGGTGTAATTAATGCCGATCTAATTTCGGACCACAGGTTAGCATATTGCACATTAAAAATTGATGTCCCGAATATTTCGCCTAAAATTGTTACATACCGTGATTTTAAACATTTCATTTATGATCAGTTCTTACTTGATCTCCATTCAGCGCCGTTTGACAACATTTTTTATTTAATCAGTATTGATGACAAGGTCCAATATCTCAATGAATGCATCACTGAATTATTTAACTTACATGCACCTATAAAAACAGCAGTTGTTACGAAACCTTATGCGCCTTGGTTAACGCCTTCAATCAAGGAACTCATTAGACTACGCAACAATGCTTTAAGTTCATATAAAAAATCTCGAACAGTGGACGACTGGGCTTACTATAAAAAATTAAGAAATCTCACATTAGCAGCAATTAGACGAGAAAAAAGAGCTCTTCTCACTTTTCAGGCTCAGTCTATGAATAAACAAGGTTTGTGGGCATCCCTCAAACGTCTTAATGTCCAGCATTCTAACAAATTTTCGGATACATGTTCATTTAGCCCCAGTGAAATCAATGATTATTTTTCTTCAGTTTTTACTCCGCCACATAACTGTATGGATGCAACTAATGAAATTCTGAATAAAAAATACCGGGATGGAAGTAATTTCAAATTTTCGCTCACTACGGAAGGTGAGGTTTTAGACATAATTTCTGCTCTAAAATCAAATGCGTCAGGATATGATGGAATTACCCTTCAGATGATCAAATTATGCTTCTCTGTTATATGTAAACATATGGTTCATATTATCAATTGCTGTTTAGAGACTGGTTTTTTTCCACAAAGTTGGAAAATGGCCCTTGTCCGTCCTGTTCCTAAATCAACTGTTGTCAAATCGTTATCTGATTTACGGCCTATAAGTATCCTTCCAGCGTTATCAAAAATCCTTGAGAAAGTTATTTATAAACAGGTTTATAATTACATCTCTGCTGAGGGCATTCTAACAGAAGATCAATCTGGTTTTCGTACAGGCTTCAGTACAACTTCTATTTTAGCAGTCACAGTGGATGACTGTATAGACTCCATTGATAAAAGCTATGCATCTGTAGCTACATTTCTAGACTTCTCTAAGGCTTTTGATACGCTGGATCACGATCTACTATGTGCTAAATTGCAGTACTATGGTTTTGATTTAACTACGACTAATTTTTTTAGATCATATCTTTCCAATCGTTATCAACAAGTTGTGCTTGAATCAGGAAAATCTGAATTAGCATTAATTACATCGGGTGTCCCTCAGGGATCGATCTTAGGACCCATCTTATTTATTATATATACTGCCCAATTGCTAAGCATGCCTTCATCAAGTAAAAAAAGAGCGTTTGCTGACGATACGCAACTTTTGCTTCATTTTCAGCCTTCCCTAGTTGAGGATGCGTGTAATGATGTAAATAAAGACCTTGTGAATATTGTTAAAGCTGCGTCTTCAATCAATTTAAAACTTAATGCTGATAAATGCAAACTAATGTGCTTTGCACCTAAAAAACTCCGAATGGCTATTGCTAATAATATAGATATTAGAATTGGAAATAAGAAGCTGCCTGTTTTGCAAACTGTAAAGAACTTAGGTCTCTTTATTGATGATGATTTTAAATTTAAATCTCATATTTCGAACGTCATAAAAAAATGTTATTTGGCGCTAAAAATGCTTTATTCAAATTTTTTAATTTTGAACTTCAAACTCAGGAAAAAATTGTGTGAAGCGTTAGTATTATCTCATATTAACTACTGTTTTATAATATACTATCCATTTCTTGATTTTGTTGACAAAAATCGTCTTCAAAAAATTCAAAATAACTGCTGCCGCTTTATTTTTGGGTTGAGGAAATATGACCATGTGTCAGCCAAAATTCGTGAACTTGGGTGGATGAAGCTGGACATAGTATTTCAATATCATTTAGCAGTTTTTGTATATCGGTTGTTTAAAACTCCATCACCTCCGTATTTGCGTAGGAAGTTTCGCTCAAGACAAAGTATTTTAGATACTAATATACCACTAAGGAACCTTCAGCAGTTGTCAATGCCAAGATTTTTTACCTCTATTTTTTGTAAATCATTGTCATTTAACATTATTAAGTCTTATAATAAGTTTAATTCTGAATTGCTGTACTGTACTTCTGTGAACAGCTTTCGGAAAAAAATAAAAAACATTTTGTTGCATTCGGAATCGTCATAAATTTAGCTATCTGGGACGCCCATATTTGTAGATATATATCCTGTATCCAAATTCTTAATATTTACTGTTAAATTATTGTGTGAATTATATATTTTTGTTGTGGTTATTATATACATATTTATATTATTATTTTCTTCATAACTATTGCATCTCTAAGTTAATTTTATTATTTTATTGTTTTTGCATTGAATATTTATTTTGTAAGGTTGAGTGGAATAGCCTATGGCTAGACTCCGCCTAATCATGTATTATTTTAACATGAATAAAGTCCTATGTATGTATGTATGTGTATCTGTTCAGTAAACGGAGTATAGATATATTGTGATTACCAATTCACCGTGTTCACGACTTTGAAACGTGGTTAAGTCCAGAACAATCGGTTTTGTAGTTGTTGTAATTTTTGTCGTAGTAAATTTAAACAACCTACATACATACGAATACATAATGAGTTCTACTACTCGTACTAATAAATTATTTAGCAAAATTTTGAGACGACGTCATTAAATTTTTAGTAGAGATGATGATTTTTAGTGAAAACGAACACCTGATTTGACTGATTTTACCACCCTGATACGAAAAAATGTAAGAAGCGTGGCTATCTAAAAATTAATCTTTATTGCTAGCAAGGAGAAACGTAGTGTACTTACACAGGACTACGTCTCTTATCCCCTTGTGTGCATAACCCTCGCCTTCGTTTCGGGCACTAAACTTCAGTTTAGAAGATTAGAAGATTACTAGATCTACTGCAGTCCCTTGGTATATAATACACTATTATAGTGTTCTAGCAGTTTAAAGTCTCGACGCAACATACAGAGAAAATTATGCTCTAAATGGCCCTAACTCTGTTCAGAACAAATATTTGAAGAGAGTCCGTGTACTTTGCGGCTGTTGTTTCGAAAATTAGAGACATGATATTTGAAATAGTGTCAGCTTATTAACAAATTATTTGAGCAACTGTAAAATTAATATCGTAATAATGAAGTTGAGACTGAAATTATGTAGCTGCCAACCTGGAAATGATAACAAATGCAAGAATTTCATTTGCTTTGTGGAGTCATATTTGAAGTACATTTGTAGTGGGAAATGTAGACGTCTTTAATTAACATATCTGCACAAAAAGGAGTCTCAAGCTCATTGTTTCCTCGAGACGTATATCAGATGCTGGAATGTGCGCATTCTGTGCGGTTAATGCTTGCAAACGAGCTGAACTTAGAACGTCCAAATTACAAGGAAGTTGTAGTTTTGTTAATACCGTTTTAATGCTAGCGCTGTTTTATAATTATTTTACATAAGAAAATTCGAGTAGTTCAAGATTTTATTGTCTGGCGGATAATTTTTTTGACACAAATTTTGTTTGATATGTGTATTTATGTAACAAAAAACAAATATCTCTGAAACAAAAACAGATCACGGTAAGCTCCTAGTGATTAATAAACAAATAATGACAACAAGACTTCAAGTATTGGAATAAACGAAACAAAACGAGTAAAAACGAGAGCATAAATGTTTGTTTACTTACCCTAAAAAAATCAAAATCTAATAATATCCTCCCATTTGCTAAGACCTTCGCAAATCCGCAATTTATTATGTTGTCAAAAAACAGCTGCCGATAGAAAAGCCTCTCTTATTTGACAGATTGATAAATAAGCAAAAATCACTCGAAATTGATAACGACACTTAATAATCAATCCTGTTATCATTTTTCTCTGAATCTCCTGTTTGTAACGCTTTTCGATAAATTCACGTCCAACCAAGTGAAGACTAATCGCCGCCTGTACAACTTTCACCCCATAAATCAATGAATCTGCAGGTCGTCGTATCATATACTTACCTTCCAAAAGTTTACAATTTAGAGGTCATCGGGGAAATAACCTTCTTTCCACAAACAAGTTTGCGAATTTTTACGCTTCAAAGCACCTTTCTTCTTGCGGAAACAATATTTTAATATTACTATGGTTCTCCTCTGGCAAACAAACATACGTTAAGGCAGGTCTACAGAAATAAACAACGCTGGAGTACGTTACGTTGACGTTTATTTAGTAAAGTGTGTATAGTTGACAAAAACTAGATTGACAAGTGACTACATTATAAATTGACAGGTGTCACAGGCATCCGAATTGTCAATTTGACATCTAAATAGTTAAGGTTTTACAAATATACGTTGAAGTCTGTAAAGAGTCAATGGACACTATAAAGTCTGAGACGGGCACCTGTTGAACACTTTGTGGGGTCACGGAACACCGTGGACTCGCCGGTGTTGTGACACTCTGTATATACCATGTAAATTCGGTTTTCAAACGAAGGAAAAATTTCGGGTTTTGTAAGTGGGATAAAGCGAGCGCCATTGAAAAATTCTCAGATTAATATGAAACAACTCACGAAAAATCGGTCATCTAGTATTTTTATTTCTCTGACAATTTTTAGGTTTCACTGTGAGTATTTCCTTTTTGAGTTCAACATACACCTAACTATGTTGAGTTCTATGGCATTAAAAAATAATTTTGGTATTCAGTGACATGTATTTGATGTGGTACAAAACATAAAAAATTGTATTTTACTAGTGTTTATAATATCACATTTAAGGACACTGTATACATTTTCGAAACATCAATGTCATGTTAACGAATCTTTTTTGTTTCGTTGGATTTTCGAATGTAAAAATTTTTACAAACTTCCTATCAACTTGACGACCAATTTCTCATATAAGCGCATCCGCCATTTTCCAAGATGGTGCCTTTCGCACTTCCCAAAACCCGCACCTACAACCTAATTTACCTGGTACCGATGCACCACTTTCGTCGCTAGCAAAAGCACTGCACCCTCAGCGTCCAACCAGTGCCCCCTCGCACAACACCAAACAATAACAATAATACAGTTCTCTAAAAAATCATCCAAACCCCCCCAAAATCCCCAGAAAGTCACTAAAATCACTCAAGTCACTCAAGTCACTCAAGTCACATTTTCTCCGTCTTATGTACAGCACAGTCTCTTTGATCCCTTTGGCCGTTCGTCCTCGTCCGCAGATTCTTTAATGGCTAGCACTTCGTGAGCACCGTCATATCGCTGCTGGCGGTGTTGCAGGGTTGATACTCCGTCACCTGCGCCACCAGGTCGGGCTTGCTCCTGCCCAGCACCTTCTGGAACTTGTTCCTGAAGGACATCTTCTGCGACTCGGCCGACGCATCGTTTTTTTCCGACGACGAGATGCAGAGGATGTCCTTGAACTCCTTCCAGAAGTTCTCGTTGAGGCAGCCGTACAGGACGGGGTTGGAGCAGGCGGAGGACATGCTGATCATGTGGCAGACGGCGTAGCAGATCATCATGGGTTGGGAGGTGTAGCTGTTGGAGTCGTCGAGGTCGGCGACGAGGTTAAAAATGTTGAGGGGGAGCCAGCTGATGCAGAAGATAACGGCGATGCAGCAGAGGAGGGTGTTGGTGCGTTGGAGGCGGCGACCGCGGAGTTGGCGGCGGCCTTTCTGGGAGGACTCGTCACTGCTGACGAAGCCGGCGGCGAAACGGTAGCGGAGCTTGTACGAAATGCGCAAGTAGGCGGCCTGAAAAAAAGAGAATGTTGAGACTGGATACAGAAGATTACCTTTTATATTCTTTTTTTTATTTTTAATATGAGCCTGCCGCTTCTTTATTTCATCGAACAATTTATTAAAGTAGAAAAATTCCGCAAATGAGAATATTGTGTAAGTATAACATGCTTGAGTTGTGTTTAATCAAACATTTATTTCTACAAGAATGTTCAAAGTGACCTCGATTTTGTTGTTATGACATTTGTGACAGACGAGTAGTCATCAGTCATTACAACGAGGCGGCCAATTTCAAGAAATTTCAAAGCTAACTTGATATACGAACTTTTATAGAATCACCTTGGTTAGTACGTTATAAATTTGGAAGTTTGGTGGTCTTGAATGAATAACTGTCGCAATTAAAACTTTCCGAGTTTGTAAAACATGGATATTACGTATTTTTTTAATAATACTTTTTCAAGTTAGCAATTTTTTTATAGAAATATACAGGGTGACGAGTCATTGATTAGCACCTTCTGAAATTATGATCAACTAAGTATATAGAGTGTTCTTTTTTCAGGAACAATATATATCTTGTTAAGAAAGAAACAGAGTAAAAACAGGCTAAACTACTTAGTAAAATACAAGACGTCCTAATTGAAAAAAGTGAGAAATGAATATTTTAAAAATCGATATTTTAAAAGTATGTGTATCATTAATTGATTAATATCACAACAGAAAGCATGCCTTTGTTTCTTTATTCACAATACAGGACAATAAAAAAATGGCGCACTACTTTATCATACATTATTAAGGACTATTTATTGAGCAAAGCAAAAATTATTTTAACAAATCTTGTAATAGACTAATAAAAATACCTTTAAAAACTAAGGAAAGTATAATCAGAATATGTAAAATTATATAAGAGATTATATTTTAAAAAATAAGTTGCACTTTGTCACACAACAATATCAAATTGAAAAAACATACAGTCTAAGATTTGTGAAGAGTGAGAATACGACCAGCATCTGCGTTAAACATCCTCTAGCAACTTTCTAATGTGTCCAGACACTTATATTTAATAACTGCTCCCAATAATCTTACGTCGGAAGTAATTAATGGAGAAAGTCATCCTAGAGTCCACTCAAAATAACTACAAAGGAGATCGAACTTTGACGATCCGCCAGATATTATCATAAGGGACTCGAACTTCCAAGACTTGTTAAGTAAGAGGTTTGTAGAACTCGTCAAGGACTTGATATAATTGAATTAGTGTCCCAAACGAGGATATGGCAAGTGGTTTCGAAACTTGGATTAGAGCTATAGATTTATGTAGATTGATTAATGAACAAATTAATGCCAATTCAAGATAAACACTAATATATGCAGCCAAATATATTTCCACAAGATAGCGCTCTGCCGCATTACTACTTGGAAAATATGTTTAGACACGTTCTGAAATGAATTAAATATTCTGTCTACGTCGAGAGATGAAAAAATATATTTCTAAAACCGTTCCTAGTAATTCGTTCGAAAATTATCAAAAAAAATTCTAAATTATGTTACAATTTGGAAACATTAGGCACAAAAAACAAAAAATGTAGTTTTTTTTTGGTGTCATATTCGAATTTTGACAGGTAAAAAAATTATACACCACAGCTAATTATAAATGTGTATTGATATTGAAATGAAAATAACAATTGACTGTAAATGTTAAAGAGCAAAAAATTTAACTTGTTTTATATAAATAAATTTATTTTATGTGATGTAATGAAAGCTGATGGACAAAATTGAGTTTAAACGGTTTTTTGTGTTCGCTGAACATGTTATGATGATCCCTATGCCATAACAACATGTAGATTGTTTTGCATATAATTTGTACACCAAATTTATAATGTTTACACCCGGCGCCTCCACCATTATTACCTAACAAAAAATCAATAAAACCTCTACCCACCACGTATTCTGAGAAACACTCAATTGCTTAACGCGATATTTGAGTATTTCCAGAGATGTTTTATTGACGCTAAACGTCTAAATTGTAGTCGGCATTTCAACGAGAAATAAAATTAAAAGAAAATCGGTTTTCCTTTTTCACTGTAAAATCCACTCTTATTTTTGACGATATAGCGTTAAAATCCGTACATATAATAATAATTGTTAAATTGTAGATCATGTCAAATTTCCATTCTCCCTCAAAAAAAGAATGACCTAGTTACAGTGTTAAGTAAAAAATAGGAAATTTTTCATGTTTAGTGTGGCACTCTTGGTGCACATAGTGAACTATCTTGCAAAAGAAATTGAAAATTTTACCCGAAAATAAAAAACGGACATATATTTCTGTTTTCCCCGCCTCCAGTCCTCGATTTAATATCAGACTGCACCGCCCCCACCAGATCCCCAGTCGTCAGTCACATCACTCGGTGCAACCAATAATACACAAATCTGAATTCTCCGCTTGTTATAAAACTTGAAGTACTCTCTTGTCTGAAACTACACTCGTGTATTATTGGTTGCGTTTTTGATCCGGAATAATTCCGGATAATAAAAAGATTCATTCTGGCGTGGAAATTACAAAAAGGATATTAAGAACAACTCCTACACGATCCCGGCTTGCGCATAAGCAACCAGAGTCGTTTCACTAATATCGCCCGTTTGTAATAAAGCCGAAATTATATATGATGGCTTATTGCAGACAGCGCTCTAGGGATTCGTTATGCAAGAATTTCGCTTTGTGTTACTAAAACTGTTAACTATTCCGGTTTCAGCGAAAAATATCACTAGACTTGTTTGTGCAATATCATGCCCCCAAGTCCACGTTTCGAACTTTGTAAATTGTAAACAGGGTTGTTTGCGTTAAAAGTCGCATATTTTTTGCGAGTAATAATAAAGGAAACGCGGTTATTCTTATAGTAATCAATGAAACGAATGAGTTAAATATTTATTCGAAAAGATTTTCAAGGCTGAAATAAAGCGGCTATCAATTTACATAACGTTACGTTCATGTTGACGTATATTAAAAGTCATTGTTTCTAAGTTGGCAGGAATGATTCGACGTACCTTGCGCTTCTCCATTCCGAAAACTATTCAAGAATAAATTATGTACGTTGAGCCTTGATTTATCCGTAATATCATGGTTTGCATATTTTGGAGCGAATTTATCTACATGTTATGTAATGTTTTATTAACAATAGATCAATCATGTATACACAAGCGATTTCGTTATAAACTAACATGAGGATTATTTTGTTCATTGATTAATAAAGCATTTGTGAAAGGCGAAATCCAGTTGTTTGATGGAACGTCAATGGAGACGGGCGGTTTCAAGGCGTATAAACTTGCCGTTACAAACCGAAATAAACAAACTGATGGTAATAAATTGGGCTTCCAAATTAGAAAAACACTTTTCCGGAAACTGATTAAAATTATACAAAATTTGAAAATATTTTGATGCACGTTCTTAGAAAATCATCGGACGAACGTAATTTACGAAATTTGTTGTAAAAATCATAATTAAAACATTTAGAGTAAGCAAAAGGTTAATCAATCCAAAATCATGATTCATTTCGAATTTAGCAGATACTACGCCAAGTGTGATTAACGTGTTTTTAAAAATTACGTCAGATACTAATTTATAAATTTACCAACATTGTATAGAGGCTAGAAAAAGGATAGAGTGTTTAACGCAGATACTGTTCTCTCTCCGCATGAAAAAGCGAACACTAACAACAGACTATAGACATGATGAATATTTAAGATAAGAAACCATTCTATACTGGGATGGAATTTAGTTTCAGCCTCTCTCAGGTCTGGTGCTAGACAACCGAATTGCTTCCCAAAGCAATATAGTTTTTTACTCGAACGGAATTTATCACGCACGCAATAACGTAATAAATTTTTGTCCCGGCCTGGAATATTTCTTAACTGAATCGTTTACAGTTCTCAGTTTAATAAAATGTAATTAAATGTACATCGTGTGCACTCACCCAAACTTTAAAGGAAAACTTCGCCTATACAATTTCTCGGAGCTATCACTCCCGCTTTATTTTCATTCACCTCCAGTCATCCAATTTCCCCGACAAACAAATACCTCCAATTCCTCCCACAAACATCCAACCAACAATGTCACTTACAAAATTACAACTTCGTAAATCCTTCCAAACAACATCTCTGGACCTCATAACGTCCAACTTATTTCTTTATTCGCATCATGATTCTTCCGTGTGCTCTATTATGAAGATACCAACCGACATTCCTCCAGAACCGCCATATGAAAGTGCATTTTGTGACTTTTATTGCCTCGCTGGCTTGCAATAACTTCGTTGTTGCTTGTCCTTGATCATAATTCTCACGTAACCCGAGACGATCCCTCGGGAATATTTATGTTATGATGTTTTAGGAGGAAGAAGGTGGTAGTGTATAGATCACGTATGGGGTGTTTAAGAGCGCGGTGAAACTAGAACTGGGACGTGGTGACATTACGTGCCTTTGTGGGTTACCGGAAGGCCTTGAGAGGGCAGATTTGTAGTAGAGGTGCTTTTCATCGATATAATTAGAAGGTGGTACCTACTGTACCGAGGGTTAAAAAATTATTGAACGCAGCCACGGTTTCAAGGTTTAATCATTACAAGTGGATACTGATATTGGCAGGTAATTGATTTTGTATTGGCTTAACTGATGCTGAAAATAACAAAACGTGAAAGGGTGTTGTTTGTCGAAGCTCATTTCAAATTAATAACACTGGGAAATTTTCGCCCGAAATTTTTGTAAAAAACGACATAAAAACAATAGAAAAAAAATTGAAAAGAATACCCCAATAGTTATAATGTGAATATTACTGAAATATAAATGATAACACAGACATATTAGAAACAGAATAAATGAAACTAGGGAACAACAAATAAACAAACAAACGAGTTCCGAACAGTAAATTCGCTAACTTTACTGTTTCTGGCAGTTTGGGAACCGTTTGAGACCGTCGTCTTTCAGTTTATGTTGGAAATAAATACTGCAAAAACTTACCAAATATACCAAAAATATTTAGCTTTGCGTTCGACGAATTTTAACAGCTGTATTACAAACTTTAACATCACAGATAATGTAAATATCGCAACCTTTTTTTTTCATTCAACGCAAAAGTTACATTCAAGAACGTCTCTTGTGAGACAATAGAACTCGAACTTCGTAAATTTAGATTTAAATGTTTAAAGCTTCGTGATTAACAAAGTTTGTCCATTTGTTTCACAATTTGAGTTTAACTCACTGAAGTAAACACGACACAATATGTACGGAGACAAAGTTTTAATCAACACAACGCTACACTTGCTATTGAATAATTTAAGATGTATGTGCCAAATTCACGGGTGATTTTGTATTTTAACTGGTTTCGTATTCGAACTGCACCGACAGGCAAATCACAGAACAATGCAATTCGAATAACACTGAATCGCGTACTGGTAAACACTGGCATCAGGCCAAATTTATTGGAACTAAATAATTAATATTAGCTTTTCTATGTCAAACTGATGAAGTGACGAAACCGAAATAAAGTTTAAGATTGTAAATTCGATCTTAGAAATATTTAAAATATATAGAGCTTGTTGTTGTGCAAATAAGCAAATAGTTTTTGTTATTGTTAGTAATAAGTTACTGCTATTAGTGTAGAAATCTTTTGGTTGCTACCTAAAACGTCAAATAAAACAAACTGCGTCTGTGTAAAGCATTATTGCTTTATTTCTTATACGACGTCTATAAAAATAACTCCCCAGAAGCCAAGAAAATTCTTTATCTAAATTACAAAACAAAATGTAATAAATTGCCCACGAATGAAAGAAAAGGCACAAATGCAGAGATTTTGTAACAATAAGTAACACAAAGCAGCTTTTTTGCAACACCTTAAATACTAATCTTGAATTGGTACGAGAATGTTATGACGTCAAGCGTGGTTCTTCCGCCCTAACTGTTCAACTGCGGCTTACATTTCCGCTGTTGTTTTTGCATATTTTTCGTCTTTGATTAATACGAATTAATTAAAATTTTGGTTTCCTACCCCTCTAAGATATTCAAAAGTATGCTAAACATCTTGGTAAAATGTAAATTTTTGTGAAGATTATTACAATCCCCGAAGCATTTGCCGTTTCACTAATATAAAATTAAAACTTCAGAAGCTTTTAGGCACATATTTACTTACCGAGACAATAATGATGGGCAGAATATACTGGAAAATAAGCGAAAATCCTGAATAGTACGCCCTGTTATTGGAAGGCCAATTCTCTATACAAAAGTTAAGTTCGTCGATTCCATTCCCCAAGGAAATTTTATGAGTTTTCAACTGCTTCACTATAAACAGGGGTGAGGCGAGGACGAGGGCCAAAAGCCATATTAGACCCAATATGACGACAGCTCCGACAAGCTGAAGGCTCTCCTTAGTAGGGTATACAATCACCTGTAACAAAACAAATTTTCGACCAAATTTTCCAATTATGCGAGACTAATCGAGCTTTCGAAAAGGGATACGGACCTATAATCCGGAATTATTCTGTAGGCGATTCTTCGGAATAAATTGAATTTAACAAGCGGCGTTTTCGTTTAAATAAAGCAGACGCTCTCTGTGTTCATTAATAAACATAACTTTTCACTGGAAGCGTCGGTAGTGAAGAGGATGAAGGAAAATAGATAGGTAGGAAGTTGGGGATGAAACGGAAGCTTTTTAAGGGAAATGTGGAGATTAAGAACGAGGCGCTGTGGCGATTTGATTAGCAGAAAGTGTTTTTCATACACAGGCCCGGATTGGCTTTTTTAGGCAACATTTTTACCAACATTTTAAAAAATTCAGGTCGGGTAGTCACACCGAAATAAGTTTTTTGTAATTCTGGTCCCGACCAGTATTGGCATACACTTCATACATTCTTTATTAGATTATGATTAATTCGTTATTTATATTTTCAACTTCGCGAGTTTTATTATGACACGAGTGAAACTGTGAGTCAGCAACATTTAGAAAAAAGTTTCTCAAGATGTCTTGATAAATTCGCGCATCAAAGACTCTGTAATTTATATCAAGTGTAAAACTGTCTCAAATCTCCTACCATATCCCCATTAATCAAAAATTTATGCACATCCTGCACCATGTCATAAATCACCGAAGAGCATTAGATCAATTCCTTCAACATTTTATGACCTACTAAAATTCAAATTCAGTTTGTACGTGCTGCATTTAAAATCAGAAGCAAACATCTCCATTTCTCGAGATTTATTCCTCCGAACAAAAGCAGATGCCCATTCTTTTAATGTTTAGTTTAAACGAATAAATAACCTCAGGTATGTGTAGTTTTCAGCGCCAAGTACATAAATACTACTATCACAACACAAATCGTCTATAAATTCTCGCGTTGGAGCTTGAAATAAAGACGGCTTCAATTCTTTGTAACTCTCAAGTAAAGTCAAGAACACTAACCTGCCATTGACATTCAATTTAAATTTCATTATTCTGAAAGAGGGATTGTCTGCTATTGTGGCGTTTCGAGTCTATTTATGGATTGTTGAATGCTGCGGGGAGAGCTTTGAGGCAGCTTTCGTTTGCATAACACGCAAAAATGTGGGATTTCGCTCAACATAAATTATGGTGTGGTTGACAGGAGGCGCGGGATTTGCAGTTAATTCAACATTGTGAGTTCATATTGGATATTATATTCGCAGTTTCCACACTTTCATTTTAACCGTCTCTGTTACAAAACCAGATTTCATATATTTGTTTGTGCTTACCTGGTACCTGTCGAGAGCTATCGCCGTGATGGAGATCGTGGAGACGAAAATACTGGTGGCTTGAGCAGGTCCGACCGCCTTGCATATGAAAACGTTTTTCCCAAACGGAAAATATTTGGTTATAATTTCCATCAGAGTCAAAGGCATCACCACCGCACACAGAAGCAAATCCGAAACGGCCAAGTTCAAAATAAACATATTCCTCGGGGTACGCATTGCAGGTTTGCGGATCACCGAAACTATCTGTAACAAAAAATGTGAAGCTGCATCTTTGTATTCATAATAAAAGTTGGAAAGCAGTTTCTGCGTTCTTTGAGGGCTCTCGCGAGTGCAAGACGTGACTTTTGATGTGTTTCGTTGGCGTTTTCCTTTTGCGGAGATTTGAGTGACAGTGTTTTCGTTTCTTTTATGTGAGTTTTGCATAAAATATGGAGATGAGAAATAGAGGGATGGGAAATGTTGACTTTTTCGTGCAGTCGCTTTGTAAGTTTTATTTTCTATAACAAACAGTACGTGTTTACACGGAACTACTTTATGGTATTTGCTCATGCGATGATGTTCTCTAGAGTTTACTGCGCCGGTTTTTATGGTGGAAAGACTGAATAATGTTTCCTCGATAAATGAAATATTTATTTCTGGAAGTATTTTCAGTTTCTTAAAAATGTGTGTTGTTTTTCTTTTCGCTTTTAACGAGAGGCGATTTCAAACAACTATATCTCGATTGCAATATTTATGCAGTGCGGGTTCTGAACAACCGCCTCCGTTGAGAATTGTACGTTAAAAATGTATACTGCAAGTGTATGAATTTGGTGCACGCATATCATTTACGTCCTGAGATAAAACCACAATTTATCTTAGTCAGTCTTAAAAAAGAAAAGCTAAAATAAGACATATTTATCTCACAAATAAAAATTATTAGTCACTCTTTATGTTAAATTAGACACACACGGGCTTAATTTTTCCGGCAGCGGAAGAAAACACAATCGGGATATTGATGGTTACGTTTACCACATGTAAACTTTCCGATTTTATCGAATAAATTAAAAAAAAAAACTTCTAACAAGCTAAGCGATTGGCGGAAAAAAATGCTGTTTATAAGATGTGGTCAGATAAAACGATGTGAATACGTTAGTGAAAGAAAGTGTTAAAAAAGAAAATAAAGAACAATTTATTACCAGGTGGTGGGTCTAAAACCCGTTATCTAACAAAATTAACAAATTTGCCAAATAACAAATTATTAATGTAATGAATATTAGACTGGAATTATTGATAAATGGATGAATTATTAAATGGGATAAGATATAAATCGAACTACAATACACCTGTAAGTATGTAATTTTTATTTAGTTCATTATTTTAGATGGCAAGTTGACATGAAACATGATCACTGATATGAAAATAATTACGTATTATTCTCCAAACAAAACTGCTTCCACTGAACAACATACATAGCCTTATAAGGAATTCACGTTCGGTAGATGTAACTAGATTTGGTAACTTTTTTTTTAAGCTGTGTAACTGCGGACATAATTGTTCTAGTGTATAATGTATTACTGGAATGTCAGAAAGTAGGTATCAAAAATGTGACATGTAAGTAAGTAAAGGTCAAATATCGAAAATGTGATGGTTTTGTGGTAATCTGGTGAATCTATTTTTGAACCAAGGAGAAAATCGCATCCCTCTAAAAGCCCAAAGAGCAACCCGCATGTAAGGACTGTAACGATAGAAATTCGGAAATTTTAAAATACCATAACTTCTTAATTTGAAATTATATTTCGACAATTTTAGATTTTTCTAAAACTTTATTGCTTAGAAATATATGTAACACAAAATTAACCGAACTTTTAAGCTTGGCTCCATTCTTTTCGGAGCTTCTTCCTAATTGACATCATAATATTCTTGACAGTTGCTGGTGATACCGTTTTTACTGCTTTCGTCCATTTTAAATTGAAGTCGTGGGCGTTTTTAGCAGTTTGTCCCGTTTTTTGTAACCTTTTTTTCACAATCGACCAATATCTTTCAATGGGCCTACACCGTGGAACGTTGGGTGGATTGTGGTTTCGAGGTACAAAATCGACGTCATAGTGTTGCAGCAAATTGACTGTGGCTGTTGCATAATGTGCGGTGGCAAGGTCTAGTCAAAACAAAGTCGGCCCAATATGCTTTCTCAAAAATGGGAACATCCGTTCTTTCAAACATTCCTTAGCATAAGTTTCAGCATTAAGAGTTCCTGTAGTCACAAATGATGAACTTTTCATTCCACACTGACAAATGGCCTGGCAGACGAGATATTTCGTTCCAAATTTTTCAATACCAATTGATGTTTCTGAGTCAGGAAGAATCTCTCTTTCAAACTGAGTATAATATTGTGCTCCTGGAAGCGTCGAAAAATCAGCCTTAACGTAAGTTTCGTCGTCCAAAACGAGGCAGATGTTCTTCTTGCCAATCAAGTCGTACAATTTCCGCGCTCTCGTTTTAAATGTTTTCCGGTGGATATCAGTCACTTTAGGTATTTTTTGTTTCTTATAGGTTTTCATACCTGCTCGTTGCTTAGTTCTCTGAACAATTGTATGGTTAGTTTGACATTTTTTTCGGATGTTCCTAGCGGACATACTGCGATTCTTAGAGATGGTTGCAATTATTTTTTTATCAAGATTTGGATTAAGAGCTCCTTGCTTTCTTCCAGAACCAGGATTTCGTGAGACAGATAATTGTTTAAAGTACCGATTTAACACATCATCCACCGTACTACGAGAAATTTTTAAATCTTTTGCAATGAAATGCCTCGGTCGTTGAGGGTTTTCTATCCATTTGTCAACATTTTTTTTACGTTGTTCTAGTTGATTAATTTTTTTGGATATTAAAAGCTGATATTTTGACAAATTTTTTAAGGGAATATAATTTTAAATGTTTGACATTCTTGCTATGACAACGAGAAAAGAAAACATGAGGGAACTAATTTTTTATGGCTGTTCGAATTTTACGGATTTCTATCGTTACAGTCCTTAAAATTTTGAATCTTTTCCCTTCACTAGTTTTTTTAGGAGGACAAGCTTTGTTGGCATCATCATGGATCCACAATTTCACCATGGATCCGTTCTGGTATATCCATGTCTCATCCAAGAAAATGAAAAGTAAATCTTCACCACAATCACGCAATTGGAGATAGGTACCGCCTTAGAAATTTGATTCTGGCAGCTATAACGTGTTTAAAATGTGAAAAACTTCGCCTTCGGAAACATAAATTTATATGTGTATTACGTACAATTATTTTCAAAGCCGAGTGTTTTCCCTCTTACAAAACAATAACGATTATATAAAACTTAAAAACCAATTGTAGAACGGAACCAACAAAGCATGTAGGTATATAAATCTGCGCAGTCGTCTTTCTGATTCTGATTATAATATTAACGGCACAAGCGCCGCTATATCTGTATTATTTTAAAATACGAAAAACACTCGGCAACACTAGCGAACTTTACAGAGAATATTTCTGCCACCAGTTTAACTGTTCCCGTTTTACCCAATTTTTTGAAAACTACGAAATATTTCTTGTTTCTTTTCTTTTAAAATGGGCTTTCTCGTGACTACTTTTATGGAAATTGTTTCCATGCTGTATTTAAGGATTTTCTTGAAACGAAGCGTGTTGAAACTAGAAAAACTTCGTTTTTTTTCCACACAATTCAGATTTGACATTTGAATTAGAAAATTAGACAGTTGATGCCAATCTTAAATTTCTAGTGATCTTAAGATTGCAACTTAACCACAGAAAAGTTTCTGTCAGTTACTTCTACCGAACGTGAATGCTTATTATATGATTATTGTTAAATACATCTACAATATCATTATTTATGAAAGATTGTCAAACTCTTGTCAAGTCAGAAATGTTGCAACTTGATAATATGATTTCTAAATAACAATAACTGTGGCAAATGAGCTTCATGTGAACGTCAGTCTCACGCACTGACGGACCAACCTTAGTGAATGAATCAGTTTATCCAACGTGAAGAAAACATTACACACCATTTTTTTCCACAATTAAATTTAGAACTTTGTCAAATCTATAACACCAAAAAATGTCGTCCGTCAGTTTTATAGCTGTTATTAGTAAATACTAAGTTTAGTCGAATGCAGAAATCCTTTAAAACTGGCGTTAGCCACGACTCTGACGAATCGCTTAATCAATACAAGTTTAAACGGTGAAGAAATATTGCTTGCAACAAATGACAACAATAAATTGAGGACTTTTTGTCTCCTACATTTTTCTTGACTCCAAATTACGCATAATATAATATTCATCTGTAAAAAGACATAAAAACAACAGATATATGTATAGGCATTAACCCATTTTCGGATTTCCACACACATTAGATCTAACTGCCTGAAAACTTCAACATTATCGTAAATTTCCTTTAAATGCACTGACTGAATATAAGGGAAAGTTTTGAATTTCCGTTGTCATGAAGAACAGCCTGCAGACTACGCTGACACGCATCAACGATGATGGACTATACTGTTGTTTCGCTGAAAGTCCTTCTTCGGTAGCCTTCACAGTCATCCAGTAAAGACTTAAGGACTACTGACGCTTGCTCTGATATTCCCGGCGCCATGTTTTTGTGTTCGAACTTTCAGAACTACCATCATTATCTCTAAATTTACACATAACAAGTGAATTCATTACAAAATGTTCTCTGTTTGATGTCACCGATTAATAAAATTTAATTTTATTGACAACTGTATACAATACGAATAATTAAACAATAAAAATTTGCGTACGTTATCACAAATTTCCCTGCATCCACCCATATACCGGCTTTAATTAAGTGCAGGCGAAGTGCTTGATAAATATTTTCCGAAGATAAAATCCGGCCTACGATTTTTTTGGAAAAATTCTAGGGATTTCAGAACAACAGCTAACACGATAAAACACGCCGCAAAACACAGCTGAAAGTAGTGCATTTTTTGCAGTGCGAAGTTTTCCCATTTCCACCTCACATCACTAAATGCCGTATCGTCCATTTTGCAGCCCCTTTTACAAGCGAACTTCGTAAACCCCTCATAATTAAAATCCATGAATAACCCGTCCCGGGCATCCCATTTTCTCAGTTGACAACAACACAAACAACGGGAATATTAATCTTTATAGACCATTTTCTAACAACAATGTATATTTCGCATGTCACAGCACTAAATCCGCTAATTTAGCATGAAACTACCCCTTCATCGCAATAAATGGCTTAAACTTACCCCATCTATCTCTAGCAGTAATCTTTGATCATCGAATTTCATGGGTCTTTCTCCTCTTCATCCATTCCAAAGCATGTATGCCAATAATTTATATCCGTTTTTATGTACATCTACATTTAGATTGAACAATAACCAACCAAGCAAATTTACCACCTGGGGTTTGTTACTGTCGCAGGAAATTAATGATGCCAATGTTCCACGTACTTTAAAAGTCAGATTTCCTAATCATACTTAATAACGCAATCCCCCCCTGTCACGACACGAGAATACGCAAGCAAGTAGTCCAAAAAGAACCAGATTTTGAGCTTTTTCATTAGCCTCATTTCAACGACTACATCGGCGCCCCCGGAAGCTAATTTTGCAAGTTAACAAAATAATAAATCCCACTCCTGATCCGATTTTACACGACGTCAGCCTTTATCCTTAATAAAATGTTAAACACCAGACATATCCGGTGTTAACGCCAGGATATCAGCAGCTTTTTCCCTCGTTTAAGCCGAGGCAATATATTTATCTCTTATCCAGGGGAGCGTTTAGTCATTTATGACGTTAGTAAAGCCGTTTGGAAACGAAATCGAGGAGAAGAGGTGGATTGGAAAATAAAGATATTGTCTCTGGGTGTACCAGACGGAAGCGGAATTAGTCATGCGTAAATAAAATCGATCGATTTTGGCAGTGATTTTTTTTTTCCGGAAGTCGTTCCGGAAAAAACAGAAACGGAGCTAGAAATGGGTGCCTTGATTTTGGCGCAAATGTATCAGGATTTCGTTTGACTGGAAACGCGTCCTTTGCTAAACTATAGTAGAAGTTTTATGATAATGACACACCTAATTGTGAAAAATGAAAATAATTCCTAAATTCTGTTCAAAATTTCAACAGGCAGAAAAGATTGCATTCTGACCGATCAGGCTCGAGTTTTCTTTAAATGTTAGACGCCGGCAATATCTAGACTATACTCTGTTTAAAGTTAATTATGGATATTACAACGGAAAATAAAAACTTTTTGCGCTTAAATATTGATGAAAAGCTAGCAATGAAACGCAATGCCCGTCCTACGCCGGCTTAATAATAGCGTGTTCGTCAACGAGTCGCGGTGAAAGTTAATGTAAATATTTGTTATAAATACCTTCGAATTTCTGGTTGTCGAGTAAAAGCCGTTCATCTTATTTTGTATTATATTTGGGGATTATTTACGTTGAACAAGTTGTAACGTTGGCAACTTGGTCCCGCTTAAGTGAAAATACGAAGCTGAATGAAAATTCTAAACAGCATTTCACAAATGAAACGGAAAAGCAAATATACAGGGAAAATTAGACAGCGCTTTATTGACATAACATTAACTCAGAACGAAAATATTATAAACCGCAGATTTGTAAACACCCTAAGTGCTATCAAATCCGTTAAATAGGGCATAAAAAACACAGTGAAAATGAAAATTCTGGAAATTATGGTATTGCTAATTACGTGACTGGCGTGAATACCGCCTTAACTACACACTTCCAAAGAATAAAAGTTTTTAAGGGAACGAAAAAGAATTACCGAATTTGTCTACACCGATCGTGGCATATTTAAGTCTTTGTTGAAACATTCTTTCGAGGCCGAAAACAACAACATAATTTATCAGACTGCCGACTTTTCACCGCTTCATCACAACGGTATCTACACTCAGTTCTATTTCACGGTGGAACTCAAAATCTTCCATTTGGTTGCTTATTCGTACACTTACGACAAATTTACGATAACATGAAAGTTTTATTGTAGGCAGTTCTATATAATGTGGATCAATAGAACTAGAACAGCTGCTGTAAAAGTTAGTTGGTGACAAAACTGTTTTTAATTTTTATCCCTCTGTGACACTCAGTATAAAGCTGAACATTAAATTAAGCTTAACTAAAAATCTGAAAAATACAGCACTTTTGTTTTTGATGACTGTACACAAACCACCAAGTATAAAGCCCTTTCCGTTATAGACTGTGCTAATACCAATAGTTCCGCAATCTCATATTCATCTATTATGTATACATCCTTCAACCATTCACGGACTCGTGAACACAAGCTACAATTATCCTGATTAACCATACTTACCACAAGTATGTTTCCCAAAGCTCCCAACGTGATCAATACACTGTACATGACAATGAGGCCCGTACATGCCGGTTCGTCTATAGCTCTGTTTCTAATATACCTATCAAATAATTTAGGGTCAACATTCCGACTTTCCATTAGAATCGATGTAATGTTGCTGTGTTCCGATAACGTTTCGTTGTCCATGTCGGCGTCTGTTCGGCATCGATCGATTCACTTGGAGTTCGGGGAATCACACGTGTCGTACCTGAAAGAAAAACACCATAGAAGTGAGGGTTATTTACTAAACGCGGCATCTATTAGTAAACTAATGAAGTACCTACGTGATGAGATTACAAAGTGACGGCTTCCGTTTAAATTCGTGTTCGCTTATTATTATTGACTGGTTAAGGCGATGTTAATCGGAAGATAACTTTGGTAATTAGGTTGGACTGGAAGTGTCAGAAATAAATCTTTCCACGGAAAGTTCGGAAGGGAATATGATTGAACTTTGGTCTATGATTGATTGGGGACGAGGGTGTTTCGCAAAAGTTTTTTCAACAAGAAATGATTTTTCAAGCTGGCGAAACATCAAAGGATTAATAATTGCGATTCTTTGTTCTTTTTTATTAAGCCGGCGCTTTATTAGATTCTTTATTTATACAGTTGAAGATTTAACATTTCCATTTCATTAGCGAAGAAATATCATGTCTCTTATTTGTTTCTCTTTATTAAGAAAAAAATTACTCTCGAGCCTCCCCAAACGGGATAAACTTTCTCAATTTTAACCTAAAAGTAGCTTCCTCCTAAAACTTCGTATCAAATTATTAATTTAAATCCTCTTGCGGTTCCCTTATTCCTACTTACAACTTAAAACACCCAAAAATAATAACGAACACGAAGTTCAACTTCACCAACTTCCGAATCTGTAACACACCGTCATCGATACTCCACCCTCACCATAATTTTAATTAGAATCCAACCACTCTGCAACCCTCCAACCGCCAAATTGAAAAGTTGGATAAAACCACAATCCATAAATCAAAGTTTCGTCGTGTCTCTGATCAAAGAAATTAAATTGTTTCGTACACCCTCGGGCCTTCTCAATTCACCCTGAAAGCTCTTATATTTTTTTAAAAGCCGATAAGCATCTCAGGCGATAAAATTGCGAAAGTGCCAACTAAGAAAATGGCTCGATATCTGCAAAATTATATCAGACGAGCGATTTATCACCCCCTTAAAACGTTATTATGGGAATATTCCGTTTCATTTTTTAAGGGAGCGGATATTCGACATCATTTTACGCGACATTTGATCCTATAAAAGGTTTTACCGTGACGTGGCGATTCGGATGTCTCTTCAATTAATGGCCTGAGAACGACTCCAGTACTTGTCACCCACACGGACAACTGAGTCTGTTAGGACGACGAAACGGGTCAAAAAAAAAGATCAGACAATATTTATTTTGAAAACTTGTTGATAAATAGACTTATAATTCATTCCGAACACAACGTAGTTTGCAGGCAGATCAGCTACATTTTCCTAAATTGCGTAATGCACAGGAATGCAAATATGAATCATAATTACATGGTTTCTCACAACAAGACACTGTTGTGCAGAATAACAATACAGATGGGAATAACAATGAGGTGGATAGCAAACTTGACACACAATATCGATACCTTTCGCCAACACGTATTTTACAACTTTTTCAATTCAGCGGGAAGTTTTTCCAGCACGTTGGCCTAAACTTGACGCTCATTTACCATTTAATACACAAATAAAATCTGTGGAAATTGTCAAACAACAGTCAAAAGCACATGAAATAAAAATCTCTTCTGGCAATGAGGTTGCAAAGCTCGTATAAATAAAAGCTCGCTCTAAAATAAACGAGAATATTATGTACTGCTGGCCTCAACTAGGTCGCACTTCCCATGCCCATTTTTGGGATTTATTATCCTCTCTCGGTCGAACTAAGGGCTGTCGTATTAAATACAAAAAATGTGGAAACTCCGCCGAGATTTATTCCCTGAATAGTAACATCCCTCGAGATTTATTTCACTCGGAATTAGGCAACAGTAATTGGTAGCGATCACTTTTTCGAAAAGTCTTTGAACTCTCGCAGATAAATGGCGTGGGAGTAGATAACTTGAAGAAAAAACGGAAAAACATGTAATATATCTGCAAATAAATTACCCAGTAAACATGTGCGCCTGGTTTGATTATGTAAATTGATATATTTCACGCTGGGCAAAAAAACAGGAATATGACATGCTTTTTGGTAAAGAAGTTCGAGAAAAGTTTGATTTTTACGATTAATCCGAACGAGCTTCATGAAACTTTAATGCAGGCGAATTTATTTAGAGATGGCAGAAAAGGGCTCCATTATATAAATCCGGATAAATAATAGTCTCATTTCTTGTGGCAAATGAAATTTCGTAGCAAATTCGTACAAATGATCGTCTTTATATTCTTGTTATTTCACGAGGTGGAAACTTGAGCACTTCTTCAGTCTCACGATAGCAATCGTGGAGGCAATTTCATTCATTCCTCATGCTAAAATCTTGTCATAACAATTTATAAAAAAACGATAGATTCTGGTCACGCAGATTGTGGATTTGTAACCAAGACTGGATTTTACAAAAATAACGTCGCTTTTTTCGAACGACAAAAATAATTCCGAGTAGCGACAGAAATTACATTTAAGTGTCAATCAAACATTGGCACCCCGCTGAGAGGCGATCATGTCGTTCAATAATTCGTGATAACGAGTCTCACAGCCAATTATAACCAAACCGTTCTCGATCATATAATGTATAACTAAACTACCTTTCGGCAGTTATTTTTTTTGCTTTTTATCGCAACTCCACCCTTTTAATTACAGATCGACGCATTTCAGGGTGAGTTCACGAGCAATTTCATTAAGTCCCCGCCCCTGACATAAAAAATACACCAAAAAAACATTTTTAATGTCTACACGTCAAGCGGAATCCTTCTCAGGTAAAAAGGATTATCGATGAAAGCTTTTATTATTATAGACTTAATGGAGGTTCCATGTTTCAAGTGTATCGCTACAAAAATTTACAAAGGAGTATCTACCTATTTTGTCTTGTTTGGTTTAGTAATGTCGGGATTTTGCTTCGACGTACTCCATTTTTATCGGCCAAATGTTCATGTAGATAATTAAAACGGGTAAATGGAGTGATTTTATGGTAACTACGCTAACCCGGAAATTGCTTTTGAAGTCTGTTCGAACCGGCATTGATTCGATTTTTAACGACTTATGTCAGTGATTTTGATAGTGGAAAAATGGAATTACGAAATGTTTATCGACCTTGAAATGAATGCAGTGGAGATAGAAAATGTTTGTTAGTTTGTAGTAAAATATTATAAGAAAAATAGAACTAAAGGATATAGTATAAAGCGTATGTTACATAGAGGGGTGACCTTAACCATTTAAGTATTAGAACTTTGCCCATATAGTTTAAACACAGTAAATATGTCAGCGTCCAAGCTTTTTCCTCTAACAATATAAACTTTTACGCAGCAAACTCTTTTTCCTTTGTGGGAAAAGTTTCAAAGGAGATAAAAGATTTTCACTAAAAAAAACATAAAAAAAAAAATTGGGGTAAGCCGGCAACGAAACCAGCAAATATAAAAATTGTTTAGCACTGAACACGCTCTCGTCTTTGATGTTGGTCTAATTAGCAAAATAACACAATATCAGTTTCTTTTTTTGGTAATTAAAAACTTTTTACGTCTTCTTTTACAACCTCTCAACTCTTAACACCTCTCTCGGCGATTCTATTTTAAATTACACTTTAATTACCCTCTGTAGGGAACGACAAGCTGTAAACTTACATTAAGTAAACCAAGTTGAAGCCGTATGTTAAACAAAAACTACACCTCCGCAACTTGGTCCAGATAATAAATTGCGTTGATGTTGCTCCTCTCTGCAAAACGCCCTAACGAGTTTATATTTACATAAAACGAAATCTTAATTCCGTTCAACAACAAAAAGGTTCCAAATTGCGGACGAAACGATTCTAAATTGAAAAAAAATCTCGGCAGTAAGTCGACTAATCTTCCAAAATAACGACCTTAACTAACTGAATAATAGAATGGGCTTGTAGTAAGTTGATAGTATTACGTTCCGGGGGATGAAAAGCTGCGAAACTACGGCAATCTAATCAAAATGTAAATCTTCAGGATATATCATCCTCAACAAATAGGAAAGGGTTACAATTATGGAAATCTGAGAAACAACATTTCGAGACGATTTCTCAGATTGCTTTTGAATTTATAAATAAATCCGCACCTGGAAATTTAGAGCGTTATATAAATTACTCGGTTTACTATAAATTGAAAAATGTTTATAGGGTTGCAAAGAAGTTTTGCTCGCAAATTATTATTAATGCTTAAAAATTGATTATTTATGTGAAAAGAGATGTTTATTTTTTCGTTTTATGGGAGCAGGAACGGGAACTGTTCCAATAAATACGGAAAAATGTCAGTGCGAGACGAAAGTTTTACTGTAACACCGATAAGACGGGCTGATGGAAATGAAGACATAATTGTGAGATTACAAAGAGAATTTTAATTAAAGCGAAGTGAGAATGAATCCTTTGGAGTTTTTAGATCGACTTAAGAGGGCTTTTAGACACTTTTATGTCCACGTGGCAGATTTGGGGACATTTAAATTCTGCCCTGTTCGTAAACATTAACAGTAATGATTTTTTTTACAGTTGAAAAGTATCCTGCATAATGTATAAGTTCATCATGTTGTACTCATGTAACGAGCATGTAACATTATCGCTTCTGTGTATACGTGGTTCATTCTTTGTGATCCTCTACAATAATAAAAGTAATAAAACGGCGTCGCTAACACTAGTACGACGCTAAGCAAATATAACTGCCATTTATCACGTCTTGCTTCGTCTCCACATTAAAATGTTATTTGCGAGCTTGCCCAATAAATGCCTCCTGATTCCTGAACAAACAAACAATCGTGAAATTTCGCCTTGTTTACATACAATCGGTGCAATTTTCAAGACATCAAAGCCACGAAACATCAAATAAATAATTGCAGGAATGTGTAGCAGCTCGGGTTTAAATTACAAGGCGCGAACTCTTCCATTTCCTGTAATTTATGAAAATTTGACAGATACAGGAGCTGAAATTTCCTTTTGAAAATAATTCGATTGTGTCAATCGAATTATGTCTGGGCGAGAGTCCTTGACTTGATGTGCCTTTTTCAATCAATATGGATTTAATGCGTTCGTGCTTGGACAAATTCCAAATCCTGCGTGGACATCCGAGAGATGATTTTTTTCGGTTGAGTTTTTCGGGTGTTATGGCTATAGATAACGGCCGTGTTTGTGCCGGCGATTACGAGTAATCGGAGCTATGAATAGTGGAAAAAATGGACTTTGTTATTCCTGTGGGATTTTGTGGTCAAATGACGTGCATCTGTTATTCGCACTGATACGGATTGAAAAAAGTCCGATTGCATAGAAGACTGCAGTTTGCATGTATGAAACGTAAATAAAGCTCGTCGGGGTAATCGGAATTGAAATGGTATAATGTTGTTTTAAAAATGATTACAAAGCGTTTCCTGTATGAATTTAATTACAGATTACAAATTTAATTCCATTTGTGTGAACTTGAGCCTTATTTGTAACTTGTTGAACTAAGAAATAATTGGACGAGATTCAGAGTCGAAAACTTTATGCTCTTTTTGCCTCTTGCTTATTGCTATTTCCAACTCCTCCTACATAGTTTCGATCCAACAACTTTGTAATTTAAAGTCCTCATTGTTCAAATTATGGATGCTGTAAACAAAGTTTTAATTGAAATTTCAATAAATTAAAGTGAATTCCAATTTTGCGATAATGGAAATATAACCTCTGACTGATTTATTGGTCGCGTTTATCATCGTTATTCCAATTTTGTTGCATTAGGCTCAGCACGAAGCTACTTGTTATGACAAAATTGCCCTTCTGAAGTTGAATAATTCATAATTTCGATAAAAGCTACACGACTTGATGCTGCGTTTATAACATAAATCTAGATTTGGAATTTAACTGTGTTATTGATAAACGTGTTAAGAACGATGTGCCAACGCTATATAGTTAAATAAAGACAGAAACTATTGTTGTCTCTTACTCTCGTGTCGAATATTTTATAACCGAGACAAAATCTATATTTTAATAAATACAAATTTATAAAAACGAGTTTTATTTAATGTTAATACAGTAATCATTTTTGGAGAATTTCTTGAATTTCTGCAAAACTTTTTCCTCGAGTTTCGGGTACAAAAAACACTGTAAATAAAAGTGCCAAAAAACAAAAGCCAGCAAACAGCCAAAACGTGCCAGCTTGACCCATAGCAGAGTTTAGATCATTAAAAAACTTAGTAGTAATAAAACTACCCACCCAACAAGTCAATGAAACTAACGACGTTCCAATAGGTTTCACATCGACAGAAAACAGTTCTGAACTTATTGTCCAAACAAACGGACCCAAACCTAAATTCAGAGACACAATATACAAAACTACGCTCAAGATAGGAACCCACTTCACATTGTCGGGAAGTGACTCTTTGTAGAAAAAGTAAGTACCAAGTATCACCAACGACACCATCGTACCCACTGTTGAGATCATTAAGAAGACTTTCCTTCCTAAGCGGTCAGCGAAGAAAGGTATGATTAAACTAGACGTAAGCAACACTAACCCAATGATGATTGAAGAAATTTCTGCTGGAAGATTCGAGCCAGCAGCTTCAAAAATCAGTTGTGTGTAAAACAATACTGCGTTAATACCAGACAGTTGTTGAAACACCATTAAAGTAACCGAGATAATCAAAGCTTTTAAGTTTGCTCTAGTTTTAAATAAATCAAAAATGTTGCCCTTTTTCTCAGCGAGTTTTAACGAGTCTTGGATACTGAGAAGTTCTTTTCCAACGCCACTCCTACTTCTCGATCGTAGTTTCATGAGTGACTCTTCGGCTTTGTCAATGTCGTTCTTGGCGACAAGATAGTAAGGAGATTCGGGTGCGATGATTAAAAACAAAACGAAAAAAAGTGCTGGGATGAATGCTAAAATTAAATTGAATGGTATTATGGCAAGATAGGGTCCTAGAACGTAGGGAATTAAATTGCCGAAAGTCCAGAACACATTTAGAGTTACTGAGAGCATACCTCTATTTGAATCTTCGGCAACTTCGGCAATGTATGCTGGAAGAATGGAGCAAGCCCCTCCTGCGGTCACTCCAGCGAGCAAACGGGCAAAGTAGTACCAATAGAGATTTTGTAAGAAAGCTAATATTAAATAAGATACGATGGCAGGAACGGCCATACATAAAAGACTTATTTTGCGACCTAGTTTTGTAGATAAAAATCCAAAGGGTAGTGGTGCTATCATTGCACCTATGTTAATTAAAGAACCAATCCATGATTCTTCGAGTGGGGTAATTGGTTGTCCCAGCGGATTAATGTCTGGGTTGTTGGAATATAATTTAGGGAGAATGGGAGAAGTCCAAGTTAACGTTGTATCACCAGCAGTTGCCAAAAGATTAGCTAAAATATTAGAAAACTGAAAAATCAAATTCTATAAATTGTGTGACCTTACCAGTCAAAACTGTCAATAATGTGTAAGTGCAAAATTTAAACATTTTTTCTCTTTTAAGTAAGTCTTTATTGAATGGTCGTCAGGTATGAATGACGAGAAAAATATGATTTTGGTTATCTTTTATTTGATTTAGAAGGTTTAAGGTAAGTTGTCTATATTTACATTGCAAAACACAATGAACCGTGTCAGAGAATTAAAGTAAATTCCATATTTTCATAAATTCACCTCCAATTAAAATATATTGTAAAAATTGCCAACAGTGTTTATTTTAAAGAAAATAAGAAACGAGGTAGGTACCCTTTCAAAGAGTCCTTCGCAAAAGATTTTATTTAATGTTTAATACAGTCATCATTTCTGAAGAATTTCTTGAATTTCTGCAAAACTTTTTCCTCGAGTTTCAGGTACAAAAAACACTGTAAACAAAATTGCCAAAAAACAGAAGCCACCAAAGAGCCAAAACGTGCCAGCTTGTCCCAAGGTAGAGTTTAGATCATTGAAAAACTTAGTAGTAATGAAACTGCCAACCCAACAAGTCAATGAAACCAACGAAGTTCCAATAGGTTTCACATCGACCGAAAACAGTTCAGAACTTATGGTCCAGGCAAAGGGAATCAAACCTATATCGAGAGACACTATGTATAAAACTAAACTCACAACGGGCACCCACTTCACACTGTCAGGGAGTGACTCTTTGTAGAAAAAGTAAATACCCAGTACTACTAGCGCCAACATCGTACCCACCATTGAGATCATTAAAAAAACCTTTCTGCCTAAACTATCAGCGAAAAAGGGTATAATTAAACTAGACACAAGTAGTACCAGACCGATGATAATTGAGGAAATTTCTGCCGGAAGGTTAGAGCCAGAAGCTTCAAAGATCAGCTGTGTGTAAAAAAGTACTGCGTTAATACCCGATAGTTGTTGGAACGCCATTAACGTAACCGAGATGATCAAAGCTTTCAGGTTTGCTTTAGTTTTAAATAAATCAAAAATGTTGCCCTTTTTCTCGTCGAGTTTTAACGAGTCTTGAATACTGAGAAGTTCTTTTCCTACGCCACTTCTACTTCGCGATCGTAGTTTCATGAGTGACTCTTCCGCTTTGTCAATTTGGTTTTTGCCGACAAGATAATAAGGAGATTCGGGTGCGATGATTAAAAATAAGACAAAAAAAAGTGCAGGGATGAATGCTAAGATCACATTGAATGGTACTATACCAAGGTAAGGTCCTAGAACGTAGGGAATTAAATTGCCGAAAGTCCAGAACACATTTAGAGTTACTGAGAGCATACCTCGATTTGAATCTTCGGCAACTTCGGCAATGTATGCTGGAAGAATGGAGCAAGACCCTCCTGCGGTCACTCCAGCAAGCAAACGGGCAAAATAGTACCAATAAAGGTTTTGTAGGAAAGCTAATATTAAAAAAGATACGATGGCAGGAATGGCTATACACAAAAGACATATTTTGCGACCTAGTTTTGTAGATAAAAATCCAAATGGTAGTGGTGCTATCATCGCACCTATGTTAATTAAAGAACCAATCCAAGATTCCTCGAGTGGTGTGATTGGTTGTCCCAGCGGATTAATGTCTGGGTCGTTGGAATATAATTTAGGGAGTATGGGAGAAGTCCAAGTTAACGTTGTATCACCAACAGTTCCCAAAAGATTCGCTAAAATATTAAAAAATTGGAAGATCGAGTTTTATAAACTGCATGAGCTTACCAGTCAAAACTGTCAATAAAGTGTAAGTGCAAAATTTAAACATTTTTTCTTCTGTAGTAGTCTCTTTATTGAACGATCGCCAGAAGGAAAGACGTGGAAAATGTGATTTTAGTTATCTTTTACTTGATTTAATAAGATTTAAAATAAGTTGTCTGTATTTACATAGCGGTTGCAAATACAATGAGCAGAGTCAGAAAATTAAAATAAATTAATCCCTCTATTCTTATCAATTCAGTTTTAGTAATAATATAAGTACTATGAACTGCCAACATATTTAAAAAGTAAAATAAAATGAAACGGGTAGTTCGTAAACATATTTTATTTAATGTTTAACAACAAAGTTATCATTTTTGAAGAATTTTTTGAATTTCTATAAAACTTTTTCCTTTAGTTTCGGGTACATAAAACAGTGTGAACAACATCGCCAAAAAGCAGAAGCCACCAAAGAGCCAAAACGTGCCAGCTTGTCCCAAAGCAGAGTTCAGATCATTAAAAAACCTGGTAATTAGAAAACTAGTCACCCAACAAGTGATTGAAACCAACGACGTTCCAATAGGTTTCACATCGACTGAAAACAGTTCAGAACTGATGGTCCAAGGTAACGGAATCATACCCAAATTCATAGACACAATGAATAAAACTAGACTCACAATCGGTACCCACTGCACACTCTCAGGAAGTGACTCTTTGTAGAAAAAGTAAGTACCAAGTACTACTAGCGACACCATCGTACCCACCAAAGAAATTATCAAAAAGACTTTTCTGCCTAAACTATCCGCGATGAAAGGTATAATCAAGCTCGACACAAGTAAAACCAATCCGATGATGATTGAGGAAACTTCTGGTGAAAGATTCGAGCCGGAAGCTTCGAAAATTAACTGTGTATAAAACAACACTGCGTTAAAACCAGAAAACTGTTGGAACGCCATTAACGTAACCGAGATGATCAGAGCTTTCATGTTTGCTTTAGTTTTAAATAAATCAAAAATGTTTCCCTTTTTCTCGACAAGTTTTAATGAGTCTTGAATATTGATGAGTTCTTTTTCGACGCCACTCCTACTTCTCGATCGTAGTTTCATGAGTGACTCTTCGGCTTTGCTAATTTGGTTTTTACCGACGAGATAGTAAGGAGATTCGGGTGCGATGAGTATAAATAGAACGAAAAAGACTGCAGGGATGCATGTTAAAATCAAATTGAATGGTACTATACCAAGGTAGGGTCCTAGGACGTATGGAATCAAATTTCCTAAAGTCCAGAAAATATTTATGGTTACTGAAAGCATACCTCGATTGGAATCTTCAGCAACTTCAGCAATGTAGACAGACTGAATGGAGCAAGCGCCTCCTACCGACACTCCGGCGAGCAAACGGGCAAAGTAGTACCAATAAACATTTTGTAGGAAAGCCAGTATTAGAAAAGATATTATGTAGGGAACCGCCATACATAAAAGACATATTTTTCGGCCTAGTTTTGTGGACAAAAATCCAAAGGGTAGTGGTCCTATCATGGCACCTATGTTAATTAAAGAACCAATCCATGATTCTTCGAGTGGTGTGATTGGTTGTTCAAACGGATTAATCTCTGGATTGGTGGAATATAGTTTAGGAAGTATGGGAGATGTCCAGGTTAATGTTGTATCACCAGCTGTTGCTAAAAGATTCGCTAAAATATTAGAAAAATGAAGGTTGAATTTCTAGAAATTGTGTTAGCTTACCAGTCAAAACTGTCAATAGTGTGTAGGTGCAAAATTTAAACATTTTTTTTCTATAATAATAACTGTTTATTGAACCATCGTCAGTAGGAATGATTTGAAAAATATGGTTTTAGTTATCTTTTATTTGATCCAAAATGTTTGAAGTAACTTGTCCTTGTTTACACAGCGGTCGCAAAACACAATGAAATGTCTCACAGAATTAAACTAAATCCCTATATTTTAATAAATTGTGTTTGAGTGATAATTATATACTCACGGACAAAAATATGGAATATTTAAATTCCTGTTAATGCCCCATTACGCACGTCCCCATGCTGCTGGGCACGTGAATTCTTACCTCAAGGTATGACATTCAAACTAAAAAATTGAATTGGCCACTATATAGCCTGAATTTAAATTTAAATCTTCAGAATGAGAAAATTTATGACAATTCCAAAATATTCCGTATTTTTGTCCAAGAGTATAATACAATTTCTCAATGGTATTTCTTTTCACTAAAATTAAAAATTAAATTGATAAAATTTTAATTCAACAGAATTTACCAAGATTAGTTAACTCTGATAGAAAAAAAAAAACTAAAACATTGGTTACTTCTTCTGGAAAAAAAAATGAAGCAAATAATCAATTTTCACCCTTTTATTTCTTGTAAAATATATTATTTTGGTGTTCCTCATCTATTCGTACAACAACCTCATGATCTAAAAGTTATGAAAGAAATCTGACAAGATTCACACGAGTCAATAATAAAACCATGATAAAACGTACCAAGTCCATTTCCGAAACACAGAAAGCAGGCAGTAGTTTTATTACGCACTTTAACGAAAACAAAGTGGCCTTAATAAAGTCTTAATAATTACAAATATTGCTTAAATATAATAAAATATTCGTCAAAATTTTCAAATGTCTTTATTTATATCAGTCTATTTTTTTTGTATTTTCGAAAATTAATGAAAAAAATATTATAAAAATAGATACCAATTTTTACAAACAAGAAACAAATAGTTGTGAAAAAAAAGGTTTACACTAATTAATAATATCCTCAAAGGGATAGTTTCAATGTATACTTGCTTTAACAGAATTTTATAAGTATATATTTTTTTTTAATACAAAAACAGATAATTGTCCACAAAAATTTTATTTTACACTAATTTTGTGATTAATGATTATAATACACATGCTGTAAAACAAAATCTTAATTGTTATTTTACCCTTTCATACCTAAATTTTATAAAATCGATATCACAACAATGGAGTTTTTTTACAATTTTTTTCAAATTTCAAAAAATAATTGTTATTTTTAAAGAAACCACACCTAGAAGTTAAAATGCGCTCTTTTGCCCTCCTTCGTCGCATTTGTAAACAATCCCAAAACTTTCAAACTACTTATCAACAACCGTCCGCAACAATTTTCAAAATCATACTTCTTCAAAAACAAATTTTCGAAAAAAAAAATACATACCATCCACCTCCCCAAACACAACACCTCACTTTCGTAAGTTTTCGCGCGCTCCTGTACCGTGTGAGCGTCGACCAGCGGCGGTGGCGTCGGCGGCGGCACTGCGCCTCCTTCAACTCGGCGTAGCTTTATAAGAGATGGCACGCGTCGCGGCGCACTCGCATCTCCACCCTCTCGACCAGCAAATGGTACACCGTCTCGGCCAAAGCAACCCAATGGGCGACCGCCCCTTATGCCGTCTGGCCGTGGTATTAAGCGATTGTTTGCTTGTTTCTCTATAATAATTGATCTTGTCAGGGCCCAGTGTGTATCTATTTGTCGAAATAAAACTCATCAATCATTTTTGAGTACCATCAACTCCATGAAATCGAGTGGACGGTAGCGAACGCCAAATGGTGGCGGGGGCGGCGATGCTCATAAACGACGGAATTTTTTGCCGGTTTGATGGGAGTACTGAGAAAATAGGCCCGGTGTTTGTGGGTCTCGCGAATTTCGAGAGGATGGAAAATAAACAGGTTTTAATTTAAGTGGGGAAACGAATAACGATGTACAAGGGAGAAATAAGTGTGAGGTTAATCCCCGTTTAGAAATCACACATATAGTGCACGATCAGTTTGGTCCGGACTGGTGAAATGATCAAAATATTACAAATGTTTTCATTTACGCTTTTCTTGGGTTATTGAAGCTCTCGTATCCTCGAGGCAAAGCTTCTTTCAGCATTTCATTTCAGCCCCATTTCGCATCGCCCGGATCTCATCTAATGCCATAATGCCATCAAATTCTTATAAGTGTCGTGTCCGATGCGCACATTTTCGATTTGGTTATTTATAAAAAGATTTACGAGTCCAGCCGCCGCCTACGTCGCCTACGCCGCCACCGACCGTCTAAAATCTCCACAAAACGACGTAATGGCCAAATTATCTTTTAAGACGACACAAGTGGAGCCTGTATCTTTTGCACTGATAATACTTCATTTTTACGACCGTCCGAGTGTTATGATTTCTTTTGTGCCTTGTCTATGTCTCTGGTTCAAACTCTGACATTCTCGTCTTTCTTTTATTGTAAAGTGTATACATGGAAGGTGGGTCGTAAAATCGTATCTTGATTGAAAAAATCCATTTCGTTTTGTGTTGCTTATCGGAAATCTTATCTGGAATAAGATGAAAGTTGAGAGGGTTATTTGCTGGCTTGGAATATGCATTACGGCTAAGATATGAAATATTGGATTTGACGGTGAGGTGGATTTAAGTCAAAGAAGTGCAATGCTTTTGCGGGAAATAAACAGGATGCAGATTGATTTTTGAGAAAAAAAGTATCATGTTACAAGAAGTAGTGCATTGCATTGTCGTAATGTATAGCCTTTCGTCGACAACAAAACACCCATAAATGGTTCGATCCAGGGGAAACTGGAGCAAAGAGAATGGAAACTTTCATGTATTAGTCTTGCTCGGAAACTTATAGATTCAGCGTCGCCATATCGAAAATTCATGTTTTGTAGAAGATTTTTTCTTAGAACCTGTAGTATTTTTTTTAATAATCCACAAGGGCCTAAGGGTTTTATTTTAAGTGGCTCGACGGAATCATAAAAAACTTGAGCTTCTCTGTGGGCTTTCTTTTCTGCCTCCAGGGAGACGCAGAAATTTTCTTTAGGAGAAGTTGCATTTTGTACAAGTGTCAGTCGTCGACAAATCAAATTTAATGTTGAATTGTTTTATTTTTTTTAATACGTCGCAGTCTTGTCACATGACTCCTAGAATACGAAAAAATAGGTCTCCCGTTTCTGTCTGTCGTCTGCCGTTTATGTTGCAGATAATCTCCAAATATCGTGGAGAAGGTAAAATCACACCTACCCACAATTTGATAACGTCACTTCGAAATTTTGCATGGTAAATGCTATTTAAATTTTATACTATATGCAGTACTTGTGGTTCAACAAATAAACATAACAATACATTAAGAACTTATTTCCATTTATAAAAAGTACACGAAACTCCAAACGTGGAACGTATTATAATACTGTTGTTAAAGAAATAAATATAACACCTCTTATTAATAGAGTTTCGTTAAAAATAATTTATGTTTCAGTATGATTTATAGACTAGTTACTTTCCGTACTAATTCACAGCGCTCACTCAATGTACTTAATTATAAAATTCAGCCTCGCTGAAAGTGTTTAATCCTGCGAACATTTTTCTATTTCCACTAGACGGAACTAGCCGAGATTTTGTATTTACTTTGATAATACTGCATTTCCAAATGCAGCTTGACGGCTTTGCCTGGGGAAAAATTACGTACAACACTTGGTTGGCCTTTGTACAAAATAAATTTTCCAACGTTTTCACAGCGTACTTTTTCAGGAAATCAAAGAAGAATTATGAAATGGCGGAAATGAAACCAGCTTGTGGTAAATGAATGAATTAATTATTTAACAGAAATTTTAACGAAAATACCTTCACGTATCTGCTAAGCACAGTCGCTTTCATCTTATTGTTAGATCAGAATTAGCACTCTGCGACACAACTGTCACTATTAAATTAAATGAAACCATCTTAGTCGATTCCAGTTTACGACTGGAGATAAAATCCGAAGACAACATCAATAACAATTAAATACGGCGTCATTCTCGCTCATACCAACCTCAGCCCGACTAGCGCTGATTTTTTTTGAAAAACGAAAAAACTGAACAATCAAGATATATTTATACAACAACCGTATCTCTTCCACCCAACATAAATAAACATCCCATAAAGTGCTATAACAAGCTCTGCAATCCTTTGAATCTCTTCTTTCAATATTGATCCAACATTAAATTATGTATTTAATTCAATTTTTCGTTCCGAGAATCGTAATAAGAAAGGCTCTCAAATAATTACGTTCCAGCGTTGAAATAAGTTCTCGGTAATCTCAAATTAAATAAAGGGTCATCGGGGTGAAATTGCCACCGGACTATGAATGAGGATGGAAAACGCCGGCCTTGAAGAGCTGTTACCGGTAGCAAAATTTTATCAATGACGCAGCCCAGATCAATCACGAATAACACAACATGCTATATAAAACCTGCTTTTATCTCTTATCATAGTAAATAAATTTGGAACGTTTAAATGGAAGTGTGGGGATTAAAAGAGACGAAAATACAAACACGGAGATTCGCACTTCGCTTGCCGCCCGTATTTATTACACCAGAAATTTCGACACGTGCACGCACTCTCTGGTGATGTCGACAATACGTTTTCTCTGATATCGTACTATTTTTTCCTTGTCACGTGTTTTTTCTTGATTTTATGACCCCTGAAACATCATTTGCAATTTTTCATAATGGCGTCGTCAAAACGGATCCGGTAAACATCCACATTTCGGGAAAATAACAGCAGCCATTACTTGGCGCTTCTGTGGGGCGCAGATAAAACACCTATTAAGAAGAAGGGATGGAGCACCCATCATCTAACTAAAAGTGATTAAGCGATTTAATTAGTGTCACAGCGTTTGATAGAAATATCGGATTCATGCTTTATTGGTTTCGCGATGTTCGGATTCGTTGATTAAATTTAGGATTAATTACGGGGAATGGGGTTTTGTTGTTTAACATTTGACTATATACCGTATTATTTGGTTGTTTTTTTATTAGATACAAAAAGTATGTTACATTGAATCTTACGATACGGTGTATGCCACCCGCAATACATAGTTGCGTCGGGGTTGCAACTTAACTTTATTTTACCGATACAGAAGTGATAATTTTATTTAATGTAAAAGCGTTGTAGTTGTACCTGTATAACGTTTTATTGTTGATTGTGAGGGGTCAGAACACGATAGGAAAATATCTGTCACAAATGGTAATTTTTGTGGTTTGGTATAATTATATCAGAGAGTGCACAACTATGACCCCGCTACCCTTCAACGAACGTGACCCCAATTGACATTTATTAGCGCTTATTTTAAATAAGTCAAAAGTTATCATTAATACTAATTATTACTATCATATCGATTTATGGATAACACAAACAAACGTGACCGAATTTATCACAAGCAATATTTTCTCGTTTCTGGCTAAAAATGCAACGTATATTGGAGATTTGCAACCCTCACCGGATTTTATTTTAAAATATCTCGCCTCTTTAGTAGACATGAAAGTTTTGACAACCGAAAAATTACTAGTCTCTCACTGATTTCATCTCTTTACGCTCTTTAATTAAAGGTCATATTTCTCGTTATTGCCAGTGCATGTCGTATTTCAGTAATCTCTAGTTATTTTTGTATTCTAATCACTACTAAATGTAAAATTGTGTAAATGTTTGGGTTTTATGTCGTATTTTTAGTACAATCAACGATAAAACTTTACGCGGTACAAACTAAACTTTCTTACAATACCATCAGAGATCTTTATCTTTAAGGATAATGACAAAATGATCAACGCTCTAAAAAATAAATTTTACTTGAGCGTTTTTCTTTTTTACCCTTATCTTTGTACTTTAAAATTCTCTGATGCTATTATCGATCACCACTCTGTAACTACATTGTACTTATCTTGTCTAAATAATAATACAATAATAACTTAAATAAATAGAGAAGGTATTAACAAGTACTGTTCAGTCTTTCATTGCTAAATATTTGCACCGAATTTGCCCCAAAATATCGTAGCGGGCAGCTAAACGCACATTCTAGTGCAAATGAGCAACTTGCAACTGGAAACATCCATTAGGTTATCAAAACGAGAATTTCCAGGTCAACTGATTGTCTTTGGGGTTATAAAACAAAATAAATGAACCGCTGCCGTTTACGACTATAACTGGACTAGCAAAGAACAGAAAAAATGAATAGAAACATAAAGTTGTACAAGACATAAACTAAAACAATACTGATACAGATCATACAAAGACGACACATCGACAACTACATTGATTAAATTAATTAATGTGTAAAAATGTGTCAACACCACGAACTGGTTCCACTGGTCGAAAATATTCAACCAACGTAACTCAGTCAACCTGGGCACAGATTACAACATCGGACAGAGAAAGTCGCAGTTTATCTCTGTTACGTATTGACGTAATCGACTAACTGGAAACTCACTGACCCTTAAAAATACGAGAACCTTTTCTTTTTGTCCCAGTAGTGTTTATCCCCCCCGAACCCTGTAGCCCCGTACCCCGACGGTTCGTGCTCGTGTTCGTGGTCATGGGTGTAGTGGTCCTCCTCCACATGGTACGGTACCACGTGGAACTGCTGCGCCTTGCAGTGGTGTTTAATCGCTGCCACAACTCCCGGAAGGATGAAAGCAGCCGTCAGCAACATCTTCTTTATCACTATGACCCCCAAGAGAATCAAACTTGTTAGAACCTTCACTTTGAACAGCTTAAGGAGGATCAGAATTGGCAAAATGATCAACTTCTTGTGTTTCTTTCCTTTGCCGGAACCCACAGCTGGAAAACAAAGAGCGTCAATGATTGGCACGAGAATCGATGATGGAGAATTAAATTTCCGTTATTTTTCTGGGTGGTTTTAAAAGTGGGTTAACTTATGCGATGACTTACTGCTTGTCTTTCGGTACAGTTTGGAAGTGTGGCACAGACTATTGGTTACTAGAAAAATGCGACGAATTAAGGTTAATTAATCCAGTTTAGAAAAACAGGTTGTAGCAAAATGTGCAGTGCGCTGTTGCGGTTCTACAAAATTAATCAAATAACTGCCACTCAAACTTTTCTTTTTGGGGTATTTTTTCGATGAAAGCCTTCGGGAGCTTTGTAATTAATAGCTCAAAGACAAAATTGATTACGTTTTAATAATATCAGAGACTTATAGATGATTCTTTTGACAAGCTTGTTGTTTTTTAATACAGATTTGAATGCGTAACTAATGGAACAAAAAATGTAATGCTTGACTTTACTAACGTGTAATTTAATAATATAAATTGCCTCCCGGCTTCGTTATTATGTTTTTATGCAGGTGTTCCGACGAATAATAAAGGAGAAAAATTGCAAAGTGCGGCCTATATCGATCGACGGATCATAAAAATGCACTGAAAATGCTGTATGAACGGGTAGGTTTATTGCAATCCCTTTTCAATAAAGAATAAAATAAAATGAGTAATGTGGGACGGGCATTTTATTATTATTTGAGAAATATATCATATTTTTTTCCGAGCTGAAGTTACAGGCTATTGAATTCTAGTTGAAAAAGACAAATTTATGTGTTAAGGCAGGTTTATATGATGCGTGGAAATGTTGCAAGGCAAATTTCATTCCACATTTATAGCTTAAGGGTCCGCTCAACGACAACGCTTCAAAGTCTTTTGAATTTTAATTATTACTAGCGCAACGTAGATTACAAAACCGTTTTTCTAGATGTTGATCCTTATATTTCAGGCTTACATTTGGCTTAATTAGTTTGTAAAAACTGTCACAATGCTAATGAAAATTTCGGTCTATTACCTTCAGGATATTCTTAATAATATATTTAGGTACTCAGGATTTTTGAGCTGCTGAGATGAATAATTAATGTCGCAACAGAAATTTTAAATCTGCACGTTTTTTGCAAATTTGACACTTAATATGTCCTCTGTCAGAATAATTATGACATTTGACCTGTCGTTTCCATTATGTGTAATTACACGCTCCGAAGGAGGCGGAACAAATCAGTGACCACTTGAATGTTAGAATCATTTATGAAAGTCCTGAGGTATAAGTTTTGTTTAATGTACTGTGGTTCCCGAGTCTGTTAACACAAACCGTGTCGTTTCATTAAAAAAATGTGTGTGACGTCGGACGTTAATGATATTTGCCACTGGAAATCAGGGCTCGTCTTCGACTCGGGACGATATCCGTATTAATGACAGTCTAATCGAAATTTCCGGGAACCACTTAATTATTTTTATTAATTTTTAACTTGGATATTGCTTCTTTTAGTGTCATTAGTTGAATATATTTTGGTCGTCTGCACTTTTATGGTGAGCCAAGAAACGGTATTTTATATTTAGTCACTGTCTCATTAAATTAATCTAGGGCACCCAAAATCTCCAGAACTACGAAAGTATGGTATTATAAGCTACCCACAAAAATCAAGCGAATTAATAAATCGCGAATGACCTATAAGCACAAATTTGTAATAAAATCGTACTCTTCCATCCAAAACACCATGCGTATCGCGTACGCACTCCAAACATGAAAAATTGCTACTTTGCATTCTTATTGCGTTTTAATGACGTAAATTAAACCCTAAATTTTCATGCTAAATTTGCTTGATTACCACTTCCTACACCAGCATTATCATTTTTATTTTTACCAAATAATCCTGCACTAAATCCATAACCTGGATTAGAGTTCGTTCGATCGACGAAATTAGAAATTCAGCACGTAATGGACCAAAGATTAAATGCAAAAATAATCTTATCTATATTCGATAAAGGAATTTTTGTGTCAATATACCCCGCTGAATCTCCTAATACGCAACGCAAATATTTACGAAAATAAAAAAAGTGTAACGCCACTGCTAATTGCGGCAAAAAACTGCACCCACGTCCATAATTTTCTCGTTTTTGCGCACGTCTAAGCACAATTTTTTCCACGAGTTTGAAAAATTTCGCCGAAATGCACTGCCGACTGGAATGATTAGAGTCGGGATCAGCGTCTTGTAGTTCTTTTATTTTTATTCATCAGGAACCTAAATATTATAATTACTGTCATATCAAAAATGATAATCGCGATATGGTAAATATTCCGGAAACGACAAAAGCGGAAAATTATATACGCAAACTAATTAGGCTTTTTGCCGGTTTATTATTTACCTAATTTTGCGCGTTTGTAATTACTGAATGTGGGTCGCAAAAATAACTAGTCATCCTCAAAATAACAGGAATGCGGTAATCAGAAATTTGTTAAGCAACGGTATTATTGATAATAATAGGATGCAGTCACCTCCTTTCGCCATGCGTCGAGACCGTCGATAGATTAAACATAGCTGCGAGGAAATTAACACAGAAATAGAAAAAAACATTCACGAAGATTATCCAGTTTGTGGTAACTTTAGATCTGAAGAAAGTGAAAGACAGCGGATGCGTTATATAAGAATGGTAATATCTTGAATGGCGAGGTCGTGAACTTGAAAGAGGATTCTCATTGTAAGGCGGTAATTACCGTACTGAGTCGTGGTTGAAAGTACATAATATTAAACAGACAATAACGACGATGTTTACGTGCTAGTTAACAGTTTGTTTCTAATTTGAATTTTATAATTTTTAGTGTCTGTTTTGTTAGGAAAAAAAAAATAATTTTGACTTTTAAGTATTTTAAAATTGTCTTTACTTATACGTAGTTCCCTTATGGAGCAATAAGAACTTAATTTCTAACTAGAGCGTTAAAACTGATTTTCCGGAAAAAAACACATACCTACATTAAAAAAACTGACATCAATTTCGATTGACATTTTTAACTAAAAGTACCGACAATATGTTTAAACGCAGAAAAAAAAGACAGGTGATTAAATCATGATAACTGGCTGCAGCGCAGTTTGGTCCTCCTTTCCATCTTAAACTTTCATCGGCGCAGTTGGGGTACGCCGTCTTGGACTGATGACAAACAGGATGCAATTCAAACCTTAACTTATTTCCGTACTTATGAGTACATTTATGGCTTCGTTTATTATAGGTCATCATGAAAATCAATCAAATCGCAGTTAGAATTACCTCGTTACAGTACAGTTCGATTATCACTTTCAGAGCTTATCAGGTAGCCTGGATTTGGATTATCGGGCAATATCATGCTTATTGTGCAAGATATGGAGATGTGATTAAAACTGGTAAAAATACATCGAGCTTATTAATGCTGGATAAACGATCACCCTTTCCTTTTCCAAACTCTAAAAGAATTTATCCTCTTCAATAAAGTGTGTTATGGAACAGCTTTTTTGTGATAGTGATAATCCTTCACAGCAGCACAGCAGTGATCAGGGTCACTGATATCGTAAACTACAGAAATGAACCTGTCATAAATTCACCACACGGTCACGCCTCAAAAGAGGTTTAAAAATATTGTTTATGTTTAGCACATTCATCCACTTTTATTAGCGTGATATAAACTAAACCACATCTAAATTTTTCTACTCTTAATTGATGGACGTTAATACCCCGTAAATATAAAACCTTGATTTTTTAAATATAAGGAACGTCAGTCGTGGCAAAGGCAAATAAAACAGATTGACGGGAGACCCTTACTCATGAATTTAAATGAACTCTACTATGAATTTATAAACTTATACAATTCATATACTTAATTCATATTTTGTTAATGAGGTGTTAATTCTAAACCATTATTTTTTTCGCTCATCTATTTGAAATAATGTTTATAAAACACCTGAAATGTTTACATGTTGCGCACTACTTATTTCAATAAAAGCAAAATTTTGATGTTTTGTATTCCTCGTTTATAGAAATTATTAGTCTAAACAATTGTTATTACAACAGCTTTTTAAAATTAGTTAGTTAGTTATGCACGTATTTAACAACAATCATACTCAGGTAATCAACAACTCGGCTAACGCCTCGTTATAGACAAAATATTTCCCTTTCAAAAACAACTCAGAACTTTCATTCTCCAAAAATAACGAAATCTAGAAACAAAAACTCAACCTACCTCTTTCCTCCTCCACGACCTCCACTTCATCCGGCAACTCCCACGACACCCCTTGCTCCCTAACGAACTTCGCCGCCCTCCTCTTCACAAACTTCAAAACCTTCAAGAACTCCGAGTCCCTCTGGAAGTACCTCCCTTTCCCGAAAATGTTAAGCTCACTCGTATTGGCACTAGGAATCGTAATAAACTTCACCGAACTGTCACTCGTCAAACTGACGTTCCCCAGGTGGTAATCATCGATGTATTTGAACAGTTCGTACTTCGCACAAGAATAGGACCTGTTGCTGGCAAAACATCGGCCTTGCACCTCGTCGATGTAGTCGTCAGTTTTGGCGCCTACCACGAGGAAGAAGACGAAGAGAAGTGGCATGGAACGCATGGTCAAGGTTGAGGCTAAATGTTGCTTCGCGGAGTCGGCGACAGCTTATATGAAGAAGAATTGGAGCGATGGAGGGATCTGCAAACACGCCTTCACAATTGGTGCAAAGGAAAGGGGGAAATGGGATTCACTTTTCATCCAGAAGAGATTGGTCGGAAATAAGTAAAAGCAGTTTTTTGTATTTTGCGTGGTTCGGTTTTTTATATTGAACACATTGTAGATACAAGATTTTTGAAAGTTCGAACGGTTCTAGAAAATTTGAGTTGATCGATCGAAAAAAGGGAAAATGGATGACGTATTAAGAATTTTTCCAAGATCGTTTACCATTTTTTTTTAATTTGAATTATAAGATCAACGGAAATTCCGTAAAAAATTTCGGTAAATGTCACATCGTTAAAAAAAATTTGCAACTTGTAAAAGTACCGTTTTTGATACGTCTTTAACTGGATCGCTTTTAGACAAAAAGTGATCGTAAAAGCAAACTACATCACAGATAACACTGCTTTTAAGATCTAGAAACATGTGCAATCTTTGACTTTTTGCATTCACAATCTTTTTTTTTTACTGATGAATTACATTGTGAAGATTTTTAATAATAAAAATAACCAAATTTTTTCAAGTTCCAAATATTGAAAGGAAGTGGCAATAACAGTTTGTTTTAATGAGGAGACACTTCACTTAATTGGATAATAGCACTAATTTCTGTAAAATATGTAGTGTTTAATTTGTACAAATTTATGGATATTGTTTAATTAGATGTTCATCTGCATGTCGCACACGGTCGTAAAATGTCATAACCTAACTTAACGAAAAAAATGTTGCTGAACATAAAAACTGACCTAGTTAAACGAATAACTATAACTTAAATTAAATTTGCAATTCAAATTAATGCTACAAACGTAGTTGCCGGTGAGAGATGTTTGTGTGTCATTATCATTAAGTCTGGAAGTTAAAATTTATTGAAATTCTAATTTTAGATAAGTATTTGCATACAACTGTTGCGACTACTACTACTTTATGAAAAGTCGAAAAACTTCGAAAATTCATACTTCAAGTATAAATTGTGCAATAAAAGTTTGGACTAACTCGATTATATAACACAAGGAAAAATTTAAAAAATAATCTGCCAAAATTTTAATTGGATCTGATATAATGATATGTTAATGACGGTTTCTCCCATGTTTTTTGCACTGAACGTTGTTTGAAAAATAATCCACAAATTTTAACACACTTTTTTTGGAATATTAAATAAATTAATATTGAAATACAAATACTTAACAGAAATAAAAATAAAAAATTCCAGTAATTTTTTTGGAATTTGTTTTATTTGTTTTCAGTTTTTTGCTATTCCAGTTTACAACTTAATAGATCGATTCTGTAACTTGTTATGTTAATAACATTCTGTTATCACTATGTAAACACAGCTAACATTCTGTTGTTGCTATGTAATAACATATTTAACATAAATTGCAATTCGCTAAGCTTCTTTCTGTTATGTTAATAACATTATGTTATTAAAAATACTCTGTGAAATAACAGAGACATTTGAGTGAATGTTATTAACATAATGCGGTTATTTTGAGGTTTATTAATTAATAATATCACAAATTTGACTGAGGTGGCAAAAGAAGTAAAATGGCAGAAGTGGATGATTTTATACCCGTCTTCGGTTACTTATTATTAGAAGACGAAATTCAACGGTAGGTCTTTCTTTTTACTAAAAATATTACAATGCATGTATTATATGAACAGAATGAGAATTCGCCTGAGAGAGCTTCGCGACAATCAAAATTCCTTTGAAAATTTAACAGAGACGGAATTTAGAAAGTCCTTTCATTTTAGCAAAAATATGACCCGTTTCTTGCTGGAGAGGTTGGAACCTCATTTGGGAAATCTACGTGCCAGTGGTATTCCGGGATACTTAAAAATTTTAGCCACATTGAACTTCTTAGGCCATGGCTCCATACCAACACTGCGTAGGAATGTCTTCTTCTGTTGCCATGAGTCAACCATCGGTTAGCAGGGTCATGACTTAAATTTGTCACCTAATTAGTGAAATTTTAATGCCTGTCTGGATCTAGTTCCCAACGACAGCAGAAGCGATAATATCTACTAAGCAAAAATTTTATGAAAAAACACATTTTCGTGGTGTATTTGTTTGACAGTGACAGATGATGAAAATGGTGTCATTACTTCGAAAAATAACATTTTCGGACAAATGACACATCTGTTATTTAGGTACTAACATACAGGGTTGGGCAAAATACACTTTCCACTCTAATTGAAATACAAAATACAAAATACTTCAATTTAATGTATTTGAAATACAAATTACAAAATACATTTATGTCTTGTAGTTGAAATACAAAATACAAAATAGTATTTCAAATACTTTTAAAAATACAAAATATGTTCAGGACAGTGGCAAAAATAAAATTTTGATAGAAGCTCGTTCCTAAAAATTTTAAAGTTAACTGTCAGAATTCTTTCACTATCTTTATAAGTTGGCCCTGTATGTTACATTCCATGTCCATCTAGTGTCAATTTGTCGAAAGTAAAACGCGTCGTTAAAAATATTGTGACATTTCTTCTAGTTAATTTTATTCCTAGTTAGAACCAAACACTGCTGCCAACATAAATTGCGAAGTCCTCAACCGTCATTTAACTTAAACTATGGCCTGTGCAGAGACTTTAATTACATAGACTGGCTGTGTCACGGAAAACATGAAGTTTTTCGGCCGCCATATTGCTTATAACCGAAAGTGCGCAAAATTTGAATGAGAGCATTCAGATCAAAGAATCTGAATTTCGACCTTCTTATTGAATACATCTAAAATTATGTTCTTTATTATTTAATTATTTGTTCATTTCTTCTCTAATCGTCTTTCTTTTTCTCTTTCCCTATAATTGGGATTACCCCGTTGGGAAAGATTTTACTAACAATAATAACAATAATAATAAAGAATGCAATTTAAAATGTCAAATAAAAAAGCCATAACAAATCGTAATTATTTATTTAGCATAATAATATATACATATATGTACATTAAAAATACTAATGTCCCTGAAACAAAATTAATTTAGTGAATTTTTGTCTTACAGACATTCAAATAGTTTCTCAAAATTAATTTAAGTAATAAATTAAAATGAGAAGTATTTAAATCCAATTGATCCATACTGAACAAATGTTCGTATGTAGAAAAAAAATGTATGCCAATACTTTGTAAAGTTAAGACAAACATTTTAGTTAACAAATGTTTATCATTTTTTAATGGCAAAAGACCTTTTATGACACTCTCTGCGTGCCTGCATATGGTTTTAAGGAAGTATGAAGGATTCTTCAATGAATCCTTATAATCTTTTATTAATATAAGTCCATCCTTAGCATGAGACACGTCAGCATTAAATAATAACTCAATGCATTCTTCGCAATTGATGCAATTTTCAATTTTTTTCGCGCAAAAACCAGCTATATAATCTACCACATGTGATGCATAATTTGATAAGGGCTGAAGAACGCTTAAGTGTTCAAAATTGTCCTCTTGTGCTAAGGCATCAGACGGTTTCATGTCTTGATATTTTACTTCGCAATTTCCAAGAGAGTTTGGGTTTATTCTTCCTAAAGTACATCTTCTGTATGAGCCTCGAAATTGGAACGGAGTTGGATTATTATTATTTCCTAAAACATATGACATAATAATTAATAAATGTTTTCAACACTATATTATACAAAAGCTGACACACACTGACATGCGTTTTAAAATGTATACTTAAAATGCTAATATTTAAAACTGCAACAGTGGTTAAGTACCCACAACCAACATTCATTGTATTATTGCTTTGCCCATTGATACCCTCAACCAATTTATTACTATCAATGCTTATTAAACAAAACCAAGTCTTAAAAAACTTACCCCCCTCCCCCCGAACAATCAGATCCATCATAAGATGCTTTAAAAAATGTCTCATTTCAGAAAACAGTATGAATTATATAAATTTTTACATACCAGATCGTTTCCTAATGCTACTAAAAAATTTCTCTACATGGTCTTGACTAAAATTTCGTCCCAGTAAAAATTCAAGTGGTGGCTCTTCAGCCCACACCAATTCTTCAGCAATTGATATCATGCTGTGGCAATCTAAAAGAAAACCAATAATGGGCACTTTTCGTCTACTATTTGCCACCAGGGTAACTTTATCCGGCATGTATAAATTATAAAAATAATCAATTGCCACTTTTAAGTTCTCCTCGATAGTCCTCTTGTTTCGCAGTGTAATTGGACCTTTTAGCCCTTTGCCCCAAATATTTACACTATTCAAAATATCAAATGTCTTATCTACCATTTTAATAAATTCCACAGTAGGTCCAACGTCTTGAAAGTCAGGAAAATTTACACTGTCTCGCAAAAATAGCATAGCATTAGCAACTGAGTTGCTCAGTAATTGGGCTGCTAGATTTACTTTCATCTTCTGATTTTCAAAGTATATATGTCTGTCTCGCAATTTATTTGCACAATGAATCCCTTCATTTTTTTGAATTTCATTTAATCTAACAAAATATTTCCACTCTATGGCCTGTCCTTTACCATTGTAGATTGTTTTTACATCTGCCAGCAAATTGCGAAATAATTTGAGCATGTGTGCTGGATCCAGAATGCCATGAATTTTGCCGCTCTGCGTCTCCGCTCCTTCATAACTATATGTAAAACTGCAGCTAAATGAGTCATCAGTTTTTACGCCAAAATTCTTAAAAGTTGTCAAATTAGTTACAGTTCCATCACATGTTAGTGCTTTGGTCACTACTCCAGTTTCCTCCAATTTTTTTATGTATTCCATAACCATTATGGTTTTGGTTTCAGCATCAAGTCCTGAGATAAGGCAATAACCTATGGGATATTTCCAGGAAGCATTTATGGCTTTTGCATAAAATACCAATGCTTCCTTAGCCAATTGCGCATCTTCTTGAACTTCGAACAGATCCCCTAGATCAGTATATCCAATTACTAAAATAAAAATCAAATAATATAATAAAAGAAATAATAGCAACAGGCACGTTTCATACCTTCCTTCCCATCGAAATCAATTTGTCTCTTCAACGCCATTTCATCAAACATAAGACATGCATA